TTCAGGCCATCCCGTTTGTGGTATGTTCCTGTCAGAGCGGCCCTAACAAGAGCAGGGATGGTCTCAGGAGAAGTCTGGCCTTGTCCTGATCCAGTTGCCTCCAATTGACAGTGGCCCCACATGGTGTCAGTGGAACTGGGCCCCATAGGATTTTCTTTTTCATCCCTGGCATCTCAGTGCCTTTTGGTTTTATTTTATTTATTTAAAATTTTATTGTGATTTGGGTGAACGTTTACAGAGCAAATTCATTTTCCACACAGCAGTTCATACACATTTTGTTCCATGACATTGACTGCAATTCCCCACAATTCTATAGCTCTCTTCCCACTTCCTCCCTGTAGGACCTCTTCCCTGTGTCCTCCTCTTCTGTGCATTTATGCCCTGAGCTGTCTCCCTGTGCAAACACTGTTTTCCCATGACTGATCATTCTAAGAAGTGCATCTACCTGATGTAAATGTTCACCCCATATGCCTGTCTATTGTTTGGCTGGAAGCCATGGGAGTGAGTTCAGTTCCAGACCTGAAGGGTGACTAGGGGCCACAGTTTTGGGGGTTTCACCAAGCTCCATCAGACCAGTAAACTTGGTCTTTTTTATGGTTTTGAATTTTGTTCCACATTGTTCTCCTACTCTATCTAGGACCTCCTGCACTGATCCCTTTCTGAGTGGTTAACAGTGGTAGCTGGGCACCATCTAGTTCTTCTGGTCTCATGGTCATATAGGCTGAGGAAGGATTGCATGGTCCACTAGTCCTTTGGACTAATTGCTTCCATGCGTCTTTGGTTTTCTTCATTCTTCGTTGCTCTGGATGAGGAGAGACCCATTGTTGCATGTTGATGGTTACTTTGCAACCTTTTAAGACTCCAGTCACCACTCACAGAAGTAGGACGTAGAACAGCATTTTTTGTGTACTATGTTGGGCCAGTTGAGTGCTCCATAGGGTTTCCAATGGCTGGTTTTTTAAGTATATTGCCAGGCCTTTCTTCTGAGGTACCTATGAGTGGATTCGAACTCTGACTTTTAGGTTAGCAGCCAAGCACCACCCAGGGACTCCAGGGCTGGCCTTTTGTTTCCCTGCCTCAGCCTGTCATTGACAGCAGGCTTCCCCCAGGAGGCTGGGCTGGGGTGTCCTGACTTCACAGCAAGGGAGCTCTCATCAGCTCAGGGTGATCTGGGAGGTCACTGTGAGTTGTCAGCCTCCACCCTCAGCAGCTGGGGGATGGGTGCACCAGCCCAAGGCAGGGGGTTTGGGGGCAGGGCATCCCAGCCTCTGCCACCCTCAGTTTCCTCATCTGTGAAACAGGAACAGAAGTCATAGTTACTCAGAGTTACTGGGAAGAGTCAAGGAGCAGGCTCACGTCCGTGCTCAGAACGGCTCCGGCAGCGTGGGCTGTAATGTCAGCACTGAGAATGGCTCCGGCAGCGTGGGCTGTAAATGTTCTTTTCCCTTGACTGCCTCGAGTGTTCCAAGGATGGCAGGATGAGACCGCGTTAGCCTGCAGAGTGCGCCTCGTAACTAACTGATCCACAGACTCCCATCCCCTTTGCCTCCACAGCTGGTAACAAGCCAAACCCAGGGGAACGAGCACTAGAAGCAGCGAGAACACTGTCAAAGTGAATGTTGACCCGTTGTGAGAAATGCAGCTAATTCCTCTGCACAGTTTGTGGACAGATTGTCAAATAGGAACCTAATTTGCTGTGTAAGCTTTCACCGAAAATATGTGTATAAATTATTCAAAAGTACTCCTGGGCCTAAGAGCCCAGCTCTGTCCCCACCTCCCACGGTACCTACCCCTTGGAAGGCTGCAGGTGCAACTGGCTGGGGAGGTGGTGAACAAGAGGCCTGCTGAGACCCAGCACCCTAGCCTTGCCGGCCATGCAGTGCCCACGGTTGTGGGAGGGGCCGAGCCACACCTGCCTTGCCCCACCCACCCCTGACATCAGCCGGTCCAGTTTCCAAGAGTTCCTGGCAACCTCCTGCTCGGTCGCTTCACATTCTCTCACTCGGGCTTCTCCGCAGAGGTCTTTTTGCTCAGTCTCGCTGCTTTGGGAGCATGACAGGCTTCAAGTCTCACCTTTGTGGGGCCTGGTCGTGTGTTGCCTCACATCCCACAGACGTGCCTCAGCCCAGCTCTCTTAACTCATGAACCTTCAGGAACTTCTGCTGAGACGCTGCTGAAAGCTATGGAGTCGGCCCCCAATGTGGGCAGGCATTTTACCTATAAAATCCAGGAATTCAAGACCCATCTGGCAGGGGCATTTATGGGCCTTTTGTTCGGTTTAGAAAAAGCACCCCTTTTTCTAACAGGAAATCCCTGGATGGTGCAAACCATTAAGCACTAGATTCCTCACCAGAATGTTGGCAGTTTGAAGCTATCCAAAAGCACCTCAGAGGAAGGGCCTGCTAACCACAGCCATGCAAACCCCGTGAGCACAGTTCTGCTCTGATACACGTGGTTCACCGTGAGACAGAGTGACTCAGCAGCAACTGGTGACAAGTAGAATGACTACAAGGTGGTGCACAAATCCTTCTCTACCCTCCCAGCTAAAAGAGCTGGGATAGTGTAATTTCAAATACATAGCCCAGTGCCCAGTATTAAGATGTCCAGGGCTGAGAGGGAGGGGAAACTGGAATGTGCTGGGATCTGCCGTCAGGCCGCGGTGTGCTCCTCGCCCCACTGGGCGGAATCCCAGCAGACAAATATCCACCTTTTGCATGTAGCCCAGCCCCTAAACCAGGCGATGCCGTGGGCTGGTCCAGCACTAAAGGTGGCCAGAATGGACTGGACCAATTAGGGGATGGTATCCATGTTGCCAACATGGCGCCCTCGATGAGGGTAAGGGGTGGGTATCTCCCAAAGGGAAGCTGGTAGCAGAAAGAGAGGAAGTGGGTTGCTGATGGGCAAGTAAAACCTAGGGTGTTGGCCACACAACCTCTGTGGTGTGGCTGTGGCTGGGAGACAGTGTAGTGCAGGGGTCAAAGGCCTGGGCTCTGGGTTCAAATCCTAACTCTATCTTATACTGTGTGAAGTTGAATGAATTTCTTAGCCTGGCTGTACCTCACTTTTCTTCCTCTGTAGAATCAGGGTAAGCTCTGGTGGCGTAGTGCTTAAGGTATTTGACTGTTAACCAGAAGGTTGGCAGTTCAAACCTACCAGCCATTCTGTGGAAGGAAGAGTAGGCAATCTACTTCTGTAAAGATTTACTGCCTTGGAAACCCAGAAGGGGTTGCTATGAGCTGGAATCGACTTGATGGTGGTGAGTTTTTTGGTTTTTACCTTTCAGGGTTATTTTGAATATTGAATGAGTTAATACGCATAAAAGGCTGACAGTAGCGCTAGGCTCATTAAGTAATCGTTATTACTATTATACATATGCCTCACTTACCAACATAGGTTCCGAAGACAAGGTCGTTAAACACAAATCGGTGTTAGCAAAAATGGAGGATGACAATACCAGATGGAGGGTGACTGCATCATTACATAACTGCCAAATTACATCATTGCACAACTGCCCAACCACTGAGAATCATGGCCCAGCCAAGCTGACAGTAACTGTAACTGTCTCGCCTAATAGCCAGACATATGTCGTCAATGCCCAAAATAGTCAGATAGTAGATATTTTTACTGTTGTCGTAAATGCAAAATGTCTGGTAATGAGATTGTCGGTAGGTGATGCAGACGGTAAAACCTGTGAAAGCCGGAAGCTGTGTAAGGCAGAAACCTGTCAGAAGGAAAACTCAAATATTTTCCACTAATAGAGAGCAGCAGAGGTGGTGAGACTGCACCCTTTCAGTGGTGGAAAATTTGCAGGACCCAGATAAACAACGCAGGCCCGTTGAGTCTGGCTGTCACGGGTTTCCCTGTATTAGACCCATGTTTGACAAGGACTTAAATTCCGTAATAATGCTGACACTGATTAGCCCTTCTTATGTGCCAAGGACTATTTTAAGTACTTTAAAACCCTAATAACAAACCTACTTCCATCAGTTGATTCTGACTCATACCCTTTAAGACCAGATAAAACTGTTCCATGGGGATTCCAAGGCTGTAAATCTTTATGGAAATAGACTACCACGTCTTTCTCCCATGAAGCAGCTGGTAAGTTCAAACCACCGACCTTTGGTTAGCATCCAGATATTTAACCACTGTGCCACCTGGGCTTCTTATTATAAGCACTTTAAATCCATTGCCATCTAATTGATTCCACCTTATAGTGACGCTATAGGACAG